TCTTGCCTCTATTCTTACATGTATTTCAAAAAACTAAAAAATAAAAAATAAAAAAAAAAAGAATGGCACCAAACCTGTCTGCAAAACTCATTAGTTAGGATTGAAGACTGAATGAGTGTTTGCTGTACTTGTTGTCAAAATTCTGGATTGTTTTCTCGTTTCGCCGACGATCTTGTAAATGGTTTTCGGTAATTCTAGTTTCTTGCCAAATACATAATTTCACCAATAAAGTTTTTTTCTTCCTGACTGAAAGAATGTGAAGGTGTATTAATTAGTGAACTTAATTCATCTTTGACAACGGCGTACTTTCGTATTGTACTCTAATAGATTGGACTGAAGGTAGAAAGACTGTTACATGTACATTTATTTGAAAACAAGTATAAGATTAATGGCATATTGTAAATTTACTGCCAATTTGGTAAATTCAAATTTTACAATTTGACATGAATGCAAGAAAAAAAGTCTTTTCTAAAATACTTGTAAGAAATGTTTGATTATAATAAACAACATGCATATATTAATGCAAGGCAGCCTATCTTGGACGAGGAGAAAGTATGATCAACAGATCATCAGGGATAGTTGAAATCTCACTACTTGATCTTAGATGGTTAGACTGTCTTTTCGTTAACATTTGGTTAAAGGATATTGTATTGATCTATGAGATTAAACGGGAAAAACATACTTGAAAAAAATCTCGTAATAATGAAATAGGAGTAAAAGCCATTTGTATCGTGAGCTTGCCGTTTATCTTTTCCAGAGCTGTTTTTATAAATTCTTAAGTTTGTATTAGCTGGTTGAAAACACCCAAGAAATACATAAGTGAATGAGTTAGGTTATGTTTTTGTTAGGACAGTTGTTCATTATATATCTACAAGTCAGGAGGAAGGAAAGACGTTTATTTATTATTTGAAATTTAAACATGATACGAGCTTTAAGAAAAATAGATAAATGTGAATCAATACTTGATATACATATAATATAAGTGAATGAATTCAAGACTGAAATAATTTTCTCATAAAATATAACTGAATATCAGATCAAAGGAAAGGTCAGTAAATCGAATGATGACACAATTTTTAAACAAATAAAAATGAGGGAGGGGGATCTGCGAGAAAAATTTAAGTAAAGTAATAAGTAAAGTTAAGTAAAGTAAAAATAAGGTAAAGTTTATATATATATATATATATATATATATATATATATATATATATATATATATATATATATATATATATATATGGTCATTAAAGTGCAGTTAAAAGAGCAAACTCTGGCGCAATCTTTCAGATCGAGTTTCGTCATTCAATCATTTTCAATAAGTTTGAAATTGTACTTGAAAATCGTTTCTTCTCATAATCTTAACTTCAAAGAAAACAAAAACAACAGAGGGGGATTTGCTTAGGTAATGTGCATTAGCTTTCCGAGAATGCACTCCTTCCAACAAAATTATGTTTGACTTTTTATTCTTTTTGTAGCCTTTTTCACTACATGAATATGTATAAAATATCAGATATCCATCTTTCATTGATATAGATCAGGTTTATTAATTGTAGTTTGACTAGTGTCATGTATGGGACTTTTCTGCACTAGCTACACAGTTTTAATTAGGTTTATATAAAATAGTAATTTTGTTAATTAACTAACGTTGTTGTTACATGTAATTACGAAAAAGAAAAAAAGCTAGTTGTATCATGGATATGAATGAAATGACTGAATTTGAATTTGCAAATTGGGTTATTGATAAATGCTTCACATCACGTATTCGATAATCAAAATACTTCATATGAGGGCATCCGTATCCTGTCCTCCAAACAAAGCATTAATCCTTGGGGAACTGCGGGATAGGGGAGTTTATTTAATTACATGTATATGCATGTAAAACATGAAAATACCAATTTACCCCTTTGTCAGTTTAAGCCCCATCTGGAAAAAGATACCGACAGGGTTCGAAATTCACTATATACAACTCGCAAAACGCGAGTTAGAATGCCCAAATTGCGAGTTAAAAATTAGGTAACGCGCAAAAACTTGCGAGTTGATTTTTTTGCATTGAAACTGTAGCAAAATTATATGATATGACAGAACACAATGCTTTTGATTTAAATCAGTAATTTAAATAAAAGTCACACTGTAGTTGTATTTTGTGTATTGTACAGTAGTTACTTTTTCCTTAAGTTACATGTATTTAATTTATATAAATTTAACTTTATATGAAAAATTGCGAGTTCACTTATTTGGTACTCACAATTATTTGCGAGTTGTAATTTTAGGGAGTTTCTAACCCTGACCGAACTACCAAGTCTTTCTTTCCTCTGTAAGCTGCTGTAAATTTTCTTTTTATCTTTAACTCTACAAAAAATATTCACCTACATCCTCTTGTTAACCATAAAGAATTGTATTATCGTTTGATAATTACACAACCTACTTTCATTATAAAGGTACAAGTATCATAATTTTCCTGTAGAGCTACGAGATTGATAAGCGAATCAAGAAGCCCCAAATGTCAGATGGGCAAATCATTCACAGGTCATACATTATTCTGTTAGGATGTAAAAGCCAAACTCTATTACACGGGGCCTGTCCCTGAAATACGTTTGCAACACAACATCGTAATCACTTGCAGTAGCATGTCGCTGAAGTTGTTAGTTGAAATTGACTGTGACAAGCCGCAGTTTCGTAATGATTTTCCCGGTTAGCACATCCGGTGGATGATCCTCCAAATGAGACAGCAATACTATGTCATGTGTCATCTCGCAACAGTGGGGGGCCACACTAAAATTACGTCTACAAGCATTCATATACTCCATAAACCTCACAACTCCACACTAATTCAGGTGCCATGATACACAGAATTTGTTAATTTCTTGTAATTGCCAGACCTTCTGTCTCTTCCAGTTTTATTTCCTGTTTCCTCAACTTCAGGGGTCATTGTTGCTCATTTTTTGGTCTGTTAAGATCTTGGATAATGTCTTTAATTGTGCTGATAGTCTTTTAAAATGCAGCGTTAGAGATTTTAGATAATCCATTAATTACTGAGAAAGAGTGCATACCGGCACAGTGTAGAGTATACATGTATACATGTACTATATTTGCATCGGAGAGTATGACAATATATTTATGTATCACTGATTGGGGGGGGGGGGGGTAGGATGGGGCCATAATAGATTATCCAATTTCAACATAGGGATATAAATGGAAAAAATCTTTAAGAATCTTCTTCTCAAGAACCACTGGACCAGAAGAGGTGAAACTTACGTGAAAGCTTCATTACAAAAATGTAGATTCAAAGTTCATTCAAATCATGACTCCCGGGATAGGGTGGGGCTACAATTGACGATCAAAGTTTTACGTACAAATATATATTGAAAAAAAATCTTTAGAATTCTTCCCAAGAAGAGCAAGACATGATTAGTCATATTGATATGGAAGCATCCTTAGGTTGTGTAGATTAAAGTTTGTTCAAATCAATACCTCCAGGAGAAGGATGGGACCACAATGGACGATCAAAGTTTTACATACGTATATATAGGAAAAATCCTTTAAAAATGTTCTCAAGATGATGAGTCACATTGATATTGAAGACAGTTAGTGATTCAAATTCGTTAAAATATTGACACCCCCCCCCCCCCCCCCGGAGTTAAGGTGAGGCCACAATTGGCGATTTGAGTTTTACATAGGAATATAGCGAAGAACAGAAAGGCCATAGTGACTCAAGTGAGCCTTGTGGCACATGGGCCTCTTGTTGCATGTGTTTCCATTAGAATATTGTAAAACAGTCATTTGGTTGTTTTACAAGACAGTCGAGAAGACTATATCCCTTATGCACTGTAACGTCTTTGTAATAATCTAATGATAAGCAATTCATAAATTGATAGAAAAGTGGTCAGATTCATATGCCAAAGGAGCAATAAAGAATAACAAAAAGAAAGAGAGAGTGGGTAATTAACTTATCTTTTAAGTAAAAGAGAACATTTTTCGTGTTCGATCGAGAAAGAACATGTACCTTAAGTGCTAGGTATCTGAGCATCTTATCAGATAAAGTGATATAAAATGTATCAGCTGCAATGTTAATCTGTATCCTATAGTGTTAAAAGAACTTCATTTCTGCGTTATAAAGTTTATCAGTAATCGAAATACCTAGATTGGTTGTGTTGATATGAGGCCATTGCTCGATCTTTTATATATATTCACACAGACATGCAAGAGAATATATACGTCCGCCAACGCCGATTTCGAATTTTTAGAAAATGCCGAATCGAAAAGACTTATCAGGAACTGCCTAAAAATTAATAAATCTTATATTGACTAAGCTGAAAAATTTCCACTAATTTTTATCTTTGACATCTTGATGAAATTAAACTAGGGTATTATATATATAATCAACCGGCAAAAGTCCTTATGAAGTCTTGTTCGTGTATTTGTATACTTGTTTTTTATTACCCTTTTAAAAGTAAGGAACCCTATCTAGGACCCATCAAAATATATTTTTTAATAGATAAAGTAGTAAAGCGAATTTCATTTCAAAATGATATCATTTTTAAATATTCTTTATTACGAATTTAATGTTACGTTATAACAAATTTGTTAAATTCTTTATAGCGAATTCAAAAATTTGAAATAACGAATTAAATCGGTAAGGTTTAAACGAATTCTAAAATTTGGTTAATCATATCTAATCGTCTACATGTAAATGAATTCTTATATTTGTTGTAACGAATTAAATTCGTTTAAATTAATTCAGCAATTCGTTATATCGAATTCATAAGGTTTTTCTATAGGTCTTAAATGTTGCATTCGACGGCAAGGAAAGAATATGTACACGTACCAGCTAAGCCTTCGGAGTTTCAGCGGCAATCTTATTCTAATTTTATGTAACTTTTCTTTTAATTTAGAAAGATACCTTTAATTTTTAAGTCTTTAAAGCCATTGTAAAATTAATACTATGCTTAATGTTATTAATTATATGAATGCTTATAGTATGTTAATGTTATTTTTTGCAGTGACTTCCGCTACCCACAAACGGCAGGTAGCACCTTCTTTCCTTGACACAGGCCGCCGTAACATCACCGTGCCGAGGGGAGGACTAGCGAAACTCAGATGTAAAATTAGAAACCTAGGACCGAAAGAGGTAGGAATGGCAAATTCCGACGCTAATAAATGTTTTGAACAAATGTCGTCAATGTTAACGCAAAGAAAATAAAAACATAAAGCAAGCGATCCACAACAATATATTTATCTTAATAATTACCACAAAAAGAACTATGACAAATATGGCTAGGCATACCTCTTAAAATGTGAAGCAAGCAGTTTCATTTATCAGCAGCTTGATATAAGTAATTAAATAGACATGACAATACCTGAAGATATTCATTGTTGAATTAAACTTTAGATTTTTTGAACTTTGACCCTCCGGGCACCTGCCTCAGGCTTTCATGAATCGGTGCCCGGATTACAGAAGAGAATTCAAAACAGATACCATCAAGACCCCAAGTTAAAAGTGGTAATAGTAACAGAAAAATATAAACTAAACGTTTGATGTCTCAGGAATTTTGCGGTTAACGAGAACGCTATTTTTTATACGAATAACATAACTCCACAAAAAAGATGTCAGGGGATATAATTTATAACGTTAATTATAAATCGCTTCCATGTGAGGTTTTGTTCACAAAAAAATAGTTTTTGCTGGAAATGTTTGGCACTACAATTGAACGGATTATACATGATATATTTCTAAGATTTTGACTTTATTGAATTATATTTAATTATTCGTTGATTCTTTGTAGAACAATCAGGCGGTATCAATTAACATTTTTCTATCTGTAACTGTCATTTTGTCGAATTTTCTGAGAGGTGATCCGTCTGCTTGTCGCGTTAAATTGATTTTTATTATGTAGTGTCGGAGACGTTTTTGACAAATATCAAAGATAAATTGACGCCGATTGATTTACCGCCAAAAGACAAGGTTGTACCACCGTTTTGAGTGGTACTGATAATAACCGAACTGTGTGATGATATAAGATATATATACTTTGATGTACCATACTACAACTCCCTTGTCTCAAGGTTGACAGAAGTAAGACTACTTCACTATATAAACTCCTACAGCAATAGAATCATTAACCATTCCCTGTTACTTGTGTATTATTGTAATTATTTGTGTAAGCCCTCCGATACAGGCATTGTATGCCCTTTTATCCCATCCCTCTTCCCTTTTAATGAGTTACTGGCATAAGATGGGTCACTTCTAGTTTATCTATGTAAATTTCCTCTCCAAGAAACAAGTACAAAAGGTTTTACAGGTAGTCTGACTCTGCAATGAAGCACTGGAAAAGGCGACCGTTTTAAAAAATGTACACTGAAGTTCATTTAAGACTGCATTTTAATTCCTGATGTAAAGTTAAATTCTTTTATGATCTATATTGCATAATTTCAATTATGTACACATTACATAAGATAAGATGTAATCAAAGATTGCAGAACATCCTTTTTATGGATCCAAATTTATGTATTGAGGAAAATCATAGCGAATCAATGTCTGTATCAGATCTAATTAGATATCAAAGAGACATGTACATGCACAGTTAAACAACGTTAGCGTGAACGTATTTATGGACGCACATGCTTCCTTGAAATTCTTATTGAATATGATAAATATAGATTATATTTATTGCATTCGTTATTTACTAATACGAGTAGCCTGGTGTGCAGTTGATTTTTTTTTAATTGAATCAGTGGAAAATTCAAAAGACTTCAATTGCGGTATTTTCAATATCACCACAACGAAAAAAGGGGTTCTAAAGTCTGGAAAACACACAATTAATAGATATGTTTTACATGTATTAAAAAATTGAGAAATTGTATCTTGCGACATTCAGTATAGTAACTCTAGTTGGAGACGAAAATATTTTGAATTTATCAGGATATTCAAGTATACAGTTCTATCTAAAGAAATTCAGTTTCACACTGGAATCACATTTTAATTGCCAGACTAAACATGTACTTGTGAAAATTGAAATATTGCCAACTGTTGAATGATGTATTAATCGTCCAAAAGTCAAAGTTTAGCCATGCATCATATTATTTATAGATACTTAATTAGATTTCATGTTGATTAAACATTTGTTGATCTGTTGAGGAATATTAAAGTAAATATCCATCAGCCTTGTAATTAATGAATTCTCCCCACCATAATAACGTGAGGTTTCTATGACGTAGGTAGCGTGGAGAAAGCTCTCAATGGACTACCCTTTGACCGTGGGCACGTTCGTTTTTGAGAAGGACGAACACATCAGCGTGGATCACAAGGCCATTTCTGACAATATAGCGGAATGGAACCTGATTATCAAGAGGGCAGAACCCCGTCACTCCGGGACGTACGAATGTCAAATCAGCGCTACGAGAGTCCTTACGTACCACGTACATTTACACGTACTCGGTAATTATTAGACAACTGGACAAACACTGGAAAACTTCACTTTGAAATTTAGACTGCATGTTTTTTTTTAATTATTATTATTATTTTTGAAATTAAATTTTACTTATCATATGATTATGGATACTCATTCTGAGTGAAATTAATTTGGCGGTAACAGATTCACACAAATACATGTTGCAGACTTCAGTCGATTTAGTATGGTTGTTAAAGAGACAATGTCCGGTCAGTAATTCAAAGTAACAGGTGTCATGGTACATAGTTTTAAAGACTTGCGTACTGAGACTTGGTTTTTAGCTCTACTGGTCAGAGACCAGAAGAGCTTATGCGATAGTAAGGTGTCCGTCGTCCGTCCGTCTGTCTGTCTGTCTGTCTGTCTGTCTGTCTGTCTGTCCGTCTGTCTGTAAACAATTTTTCAAAACGCTACTCCTCCTACAGTTTTGGTCCGATTTCAATATAACTTGGCACACAAGTAGACTACACTAAGATACATAATTTAGTGCATCGGTTTTTGATTTCGATGGACGGTGTTGCCATGGTTACTAAAAATAGAAATTTCTGTGAAATTCCTTTAAAACACTACTCCTCCTACAGTTTTGGTCCGATTTCAATATAACTTGGCACACAAGTAGACTACACTAAGATACATAATTTAGTGCATCGGTTTTTGATTTCGATGGACGGTGTTGCCATGGTTACTAAAAATAGAAATTTCTGTGAAATTCCTTTAAAACGCTACTCCTCCTACAGTTTTGGTCTGATTTCAATATAACTTGGCACACAAGTAGACTAAACTAAGATACATAATTTAGTGCATCGGTTTTTGATTTCGATGGACGGTGTTGCCATGGTTACTAAAAATAGAAATTTCTGTGAAATTTCTTTAAAACGCTACTCCTCCTACAGTTTTGGTCCGAATTCAATATAACTTGGCACACAAGTAGACTACACTAAGATACATAATTTAGTGCATCGGTTTTTTGATTTCGATGGACGGTGTTCCCATGGTTACTAAAAATAGAAATTTCTGTGAAATTTCTTTAAAACGCTACTCCTCCTACAGTTTTGGTCTGATTTCAATATAACTTGGCACACAAGTAGACTACACTAAGATACATAATTTAGTGCATCGGTTTTTGATTTCGATGGACGGTGTTGCCATGGTTACTAAAAATAGAAATTTCTGTGAAATTTCTTTAAAACGCTACTCCTCCTACAGTTTTGGTCCGATTTCAATATAACTTGGCACACAAGTAGACTTAACTAAGATACATAATTTAGTGCATCGGTTTTTGATTTCGACGGACGGTGTTGCCATGGTTACTAAAAATAGAAATTTCTGTGAAATTTCTTTAAAACGCTACTCCTCCTACAGTTTTGGTCCGATTTCAATATAACTTGGCACACAAGTAGACTACACTAAGATACATAATTTAGTGCATCGGTTTTTTGATTTCGATGGACGGTGTTCCCATGGTTACTAAAAATAGAAATTTCTGTGAAATTTCTTTAAAACGCTACTCCTCCTACAGTTTTGGTCTGATTTCAATATAACTTGGCACACAAGTAGACTACACTAAGATACATAATTTAGTGCATTTTTTTGAATTCGATGAACAGTGTTGCCATGGTTACTTAAAATAGAAATTTCTGTGAAATTCCTTTAAAACGTTACTCCTCCTACAATTTTGGTCTGATTTCAATCTAATTTGGCACACAGTTAGAATACACTAAAATACATAATATGTATTTCTGTTTTTTTTTATTTGGGTGAATGGTGTTGTCATGGTTACCGGTACTAAAAATAGAAATTTCTGTGAAATACTTTCAAAACGCTACTACTCCTAGTTTTCATTTGATTTCAATAACTTGTCACAAAAGTAGACTACATTAAGATACATAATTCTATTTATTGTTGCATGTTGCAATGTTTCAAATCCAAGTGCTACTTTTCTTTTGTTATACAAACAGACCAGTAGAGCTACAGTCTCATCAGAGACTTCTGGTTAAGAATTAAATTTTGCTTATTTTTTTCATCTCAAAATTTTCAACAACCTTATGGGCTTCATTCTGTATTTGCACCATGTTTACAGCACTAGAGTTGTCATACACTATATATACTGGTAGACCTGTAATAATTTCCGCGACAAAGATTTTATAAATATCGCACCTTGAAAGAGTAGTCAGAAAGAATTTTGACGGAACATCTATAATGGCAATTTAAATCTGTATGCAATAAAACTTGTGTCTAGACATTTTTCTCTCTGAAACTCAATTTAGAAAGCTTTCTCTTCTTTTGTATTAAGTATTTGTCTACAGAAAAGTTATTGGTAATATCAGCCTCTTACCAATTGAATGAAAAGTATCGATCCTTGGAACTTTAATAAAAAGTGTGGTTATAAGCGTAATCAAGCGTTCTAATTAAACGTCAAAGAGAGATTCGGTTATTTGTCAAACCTCTGGAATCAAACACCCAGGACTAGCAGGACCATTGATTGGGATGTGTGTTCAAAGACGTTTGGTTGATCAACATCCATACACAGTGTAATTTAACAATGATATATGATCCGGAAACTGCTACATGTATTTGGCGTTTGGCCCAAGATACAATCGTATTTTTATTGGAATTGTTCGCCATAGCACTTCAATTTCTCTGTCTTCAAAATTTGAATTTAATTTTAACCTCATACTTCTTAAATAGATTCAAATTACTATATATAACCGAGTTTCAATTACCTTTAAGAAAAATATATGTTCATTTAAACAAGTTTGATTTTTTTTCAGATTTCCCTGCAGTTGAATCAAGTAAGGATTTTTTTTTAAATTGTAATTTTAGCTATTTATTTGAAAATCCATTAACTTTTACTGAACACAGATATTGTAAAACCTTACAATGAAGTTTCTGTTGGATGAGGCATCCATTAGGCAAAAAAAAAAAAATTATAAATAAAATAAAAAAAAATTAAAACACACACTTTGTGGGAAAATTGAATTATTGATACATTACTATTATCTCTACTTTCAACAATAAAATAACAAAATTAGGCCGCGTTGGTAGAACACTCTAAACATTGATTTCCCATTAAAAAATTATAATCAAATGATATCATAGGAGAGTTATTTAAATTTGTTACATGTAGCTTTAGAAATAGATATTCTGGAATCTTCATCCTATTGTGGATGGTGATGACACTCCATTAGAATAATTAGAGGCGAATGGCATGGAGATTGACAGAAAAACGTGGCAACAAGAGGCTGAACACCGATACCTATAGTTAAAGAATTTGTTTCACAAAATGGGGGGCTGTATTATTTTAGAGAGTCAAATCAAGGAAAATCTGCAATTATTCCAAAGACCGAAGTAAAAATATGAAGCTTTACCACGAGATTTTTTGTTCAAAATGTTCTCTCATATATACATTTATAGATATGATGATATGACCTACCATTGTTACATTGAAGCCTATCGACAATATATAATTTTAATCCATAAAAAATTAAGAAATTTATTTTTGGAAAAAGCGTTTGGTTATGAGATCCATAAAAAGAAATTCTTCATAATTTGATATATGATAGTGCATATGTCACCATGCAAGTTTTAGAAAAATTGAGTTTTTTAATCTTATTTTTCACTGGGTGATAATTCTTACAATTAAAACCGAATGATAATTGATGGATTTTGTCTATATATTTAATTTAGTTCATGTTGTTTGTTCTTATTATCTTTTAAACTTATTTTATAAGTATTTATATTTTACTTGAACATGTACTAAAAATAGTTAATCTCCCTCTTTATGCACCGCATGCCTTAATTAATACTGAGAAATAACTGCTTCTAAAATATGTGCAACTGCTCTAAAATCAAACCCTTCAAATCTACGTTATGAAATCTAGATTGCTTTGTCAAGTGAAAATGACAGACTTGATATTTAGAGCAGCTACACTTAATTGTATTTGAATAAAGATTAATTTTGCAGAAGCATATTAGTCTGTATAAAAGTCTTTCTAATAAATAACTTAAAATTCAGCGGAACCCCAATTCAAGGAAATAAGTCATGGTGAAACGGTGGGATTTTTATTCTTTAAAAAAAATCATGGATCCCTGTTTGACCATTATCTTCGGACGCTTTCAAACATTCGCCATTTCATATTCCCTAAAGGGTAATAACTCCTGTTTATTAGGTTTTAATGCTCTTCTTGTCACCTCTGTAAAAATATTGCTCCCTGTTCTAATATAACTCAGTAGAAAGTAATGACAAATTACACCAAATTATGTCATCAATATTAACGTAATTAAGAAATCTTCCAAATTCTTGTAAGAAAAATCTGGTTTTCTGTGTGATGATAAAAGGCTATATTCTTTCAGCAATTGAGTTGGATGGTACGCAGTATGTAAACTTATATGACCCTATAACCCTGACTTGTAATGTAACGTTCGGAAAGGATGCCATATCAAGTGCGCAAGTGGACTGGTTCCATAATGGACAAATCATCAAATCGGGCGATGCCCAGTGGTTAAACCGACTTCGAATCACTCAGTACATAACGTCTGACGGTCGGACCATTGTTAGTCTGCTCCATATATCCCACAGTTCTCAGAGAGACGACGGACGCTACGTGTGCCGGACGATTAACTACATGAATGACCGACAGGAGACGGACAGCATGGACGTCATCGTCCTCAATAGTAAGTATTCACAGTTACTGACTGTCACCCTGATAGACCGCCGCGGTGGCGGTCACCCTGATACACCGCCGCGGTGACAGTCACCCGGTATACCATCTTTAGTCCACCGTATTCGCGGTGATTTCGATTAAGGTAAAGTTTATTTTTTCATTCCACACAAGTGTTGACTATCTCAAAGATTTCTTTTAACATCATACTTTCATTTTAAAGTAATTAATATTATTGCAGAATTGCAGTCTCTAAACTCTCTTCTACTGCTGTGCTTGCCAGTTTTCATATATTGTTTTTATCTTTGCACATCATTAAACACTGCTACATTGTGACAAGCAGTAACTTTGAATACTTCCAGAGGATTGACAAGTGGTTATTCTCCGAGTTTTTGTGTTTTAAACATGTTTTTGAACATTTGTCAACCATTTCTCCATAAACTCGTAAAGGGCAAGCATGATATCAGCTTTTTGATATTACAGTGTGCTTTTAATGGGGAGCTCATACATGTAGCACAGATTTCGTAGCAAATATAAGTTTTAAAAAAATATAATTTACATGACCAAGGCTTATAAAATGTACTTTCTTTTATATGCTCTGCAGCAAACAAAGATCACATAAAAAGAACTGGCGATAAAGGTAAGTGTACTTGTAGTGCGCATGCGCTTGTTCCATAAATAGCTAAATCAATATAAATAATAATTAAACATGCACATTTTTTCTTCGTTTCATTGTTATAAAACTATCATTTTTCGTTGTTCTAGTGTAAGCATTCTTCTCAAATGTGAAAAAAACTAACTGTTTAGGGTTTTTATTTTCAGCTGGCATTCATGAAAGTGAGTAATCCTTTAAGAACACTAATATGTTAAACAGTTTAACCCAACTTTTCCCCTCATTTAAACTTTAAAAAAAGATCTGCTTTTACAGAAAAAAAGAGAGCATATGCACTTCTTTGAGAATTACATCTGCATATTTCCTATAAATTACGACATTGTTAATGAAGGAGGGCTACAATCATGCATGTGATGTGCTTATGTTGACTGTTTATCTAATATACCTGTTAAAATCTTCATTAACTCTTAATTACATAAGGTTTTAAGTTGGCTTGTGGAATGACTTTGATTTTAATTTAACTGGTAAAGTCTTATAATATATGCATGATATTACTACAAGGACAAATAATTTGACTCAAGAATGTTAGAACAAAAACGAATGCTATTTTCAGTCTCTGCCAAAATAATCGCCATTCTTTGCACACCATATTTATAAAGTTTTGTATGAATGTAAATGGGTAATTAGGAAATATTGCAAAAATACAGCAACCATGCATAAACTGCTGTTTAACGAAAGACACGTGCAGTGGATCATCGAAGATTTTCTTGGAATGTTGTTGATTTACACAACTCCTCTCTAGGGTTGTCCAATCAAATTTAACAGAGTGCTTCACTGCGGATTTGTGACAGTTCTCGTAACTAAACTGGTATCCATTACAAGGTTTCTCTATGGAGTTCCTATGTTGATTGGTTCCCTTGGTGGTTGTCGGATGTCGACTCCTGCAGTAAATCTTGCTCTCCTTTGTTACCTTTTATTCGCTGTTTCTGCGATGTATCCTGGATTCTTGTTAGTACAAAACACTGTCTGACATTCTCTACGAAATTAAATACATGTATACTAAGGAAACTGATAATGATGACAATGAGTTATTGCTGTCACTATATAAATAGATTACTAGTACATGTGTGTATAATTATTCCATAATAATTCTGTCCTTATAGTTTCAAGTGGACATCTCTCGGCAGATACTACATGTAGTTTGAAATGTCCAATTTCTGTATAAAATTTACCAAACAAATGGATAAAATATTATTTCTTTCATACACATAAATAGATAATTGCAACACACATTTAAAAATTTTTGTTTTTGCTTTTCACTGCTTTTTGATTTTCCAAGAACACAATTCTTATAAATATTTCCCTCCAGTCCAGTCTGTTAAAAATGCCGAAATTGACACTTTATTGTTTAAAGTCAAAAAACAAAACCAAAAAAAATTGATGGGGATACTTGTTTGAAGCTAAAATACCCACAAAACAGAATGGGGAGAGATACAGGTGGATTCATAAGTCAGGCACTTGGAGGATGTAAAGAAAAAAATATGCAAAATAAAAATAATAATAGATTCAAAGATAAAATCTGATTTATTGATTCAAATTTAAAAGTTGAAAACATTCCTCCTCTGAAGAGCAGGTGCACAGAACGCCCACAGAGAAGAATTATGTTCTCGGAGAAAATCTCGGCATTTATTTTGTAGTTTCTAATATACATTCCTAATCAAAATCAATCGGCTCATAATTCGAGAAAATGCATTCCTATCTGTGTTTTGTGTGATGTTTTGGAATTGAGGGATTTCAAAAGAGATCAAAACAAAAACGTAAACAATCTATGATGTGTAAGTTCTTTATGAACACCTTTTAGCTAAGTGAAAGAAACTTTCCAATAAATTGTGGCAACTTTCCTGTTTACTGTTATCTATAAAAATTGCACATTATAGACATATATATCGTGCTATTAGCAATTAATTTGTTGCCTCTTAGCAGGCAGTAATCATGCGATGATTGGTTTGCCTATAAATACAAGAATAACCATCTCTGTTGACACTCTTCTTTAGCCTGATGTTGTTTAGATACATGTACAAGATGTGGAATGAATGCTATTTTCGATCAAATAACAACGGGCCATGAATATTCTTTGCCAGATAAGGAAAATTTGTTCAAGAGAAAACAGGATTACTGCTTTATCATTGTCTTAAAAGTGATTAGTATATTAAATACATGTAGTAGTCAACAGTTCAAGTAAATGCCTTCAAGTTGATTGATTTTAAATTTTTAATGCATTTATGACATTTTTAACACTGTTGCATAAAAAATGATATGGTGGGATTCTACATATATTTCATGAAATAATTTAAGGATACTAGTATCAGAGCACCATTCTGAGGGAATTATTTCGTAGTAGAACTCGTAGTATAATAGATTCTGATATAACGCTATGAATTCATAAGATTCTAAAACTCACACCTTTTTGAATATACATATACATGTATTTTAAGATTTTTTGGGATCGGACCACAAGTATTATTTATAAAAGCTTTTCTTTGAAAATGTGTTTGTAAAAGTGTAGCTATGAATTACGTTCTTGATCAAGCCTTGAAAGCAACTTCAATTATGATGTTTGATCAGCTTCCTTTTACTTTAAGGTGGAGGAGCGGAAGTGGCGGGGCAGTCTGGGAAAAATGTGTCCGGTCAGGTGACAGCTTCCATAATTGTGAACATAGTGCTTTTCTTAATTGTGATTTTAAGGTGAAAGCATAGACACCTGAAAATATAATGTTTGTGGAGTGTATGGAAAGACCAGTCACTTAAAGTTTTTGATGAGCAAGGACCACCCTTCTACATGTATGAGTATCAGTGTTAATCCGAGTATCGCTCAAGGATACTTTTGACAGCACGGAGCACCGGTCAGAGATTATATTCGTTAGAATACCTGACCCTCAGAAAGCAGTGAGCAAATTTGTATTGGGCGGATTCAGTTAATTTTCACATATCGTTTACTTACGTGAAAACTTTGTCCGTCCATCGTGCAAATCTTTTACGATATATATGAGAACTTGCTTTGAGAGAGAGAGAGAGAGAGATAGCGAGAGAGAGAAAAACTATTTTTTTAAGATTGTGCATACATGTCCATTGTTTTGTGATGTGACTTGCTTGTTTACATGGTTTTGCTGAAGGTTTTTGTTTTGCCAAGATATGGACATTTTACCTTTAACAGAAAGATTACTTATTTTTTACTCAGCGTTATGAAACTAAAACTACGTGTATTTAACATAAGTACTTAGACAATTTTTGTTTTCTTTTGTACTTTATCAGCTTAAAATTTCAGCATGATCAAGATATGTTCTAATTTCGTATATAGGGCGTTCATCATCAGTTACATTCATGATGTCGTAGTTGTTGATTTCAGATGTAAAATTTTTTTTCACCAAAAAGTGATTATTTGTTAGATTTGTTGTTCATCTTTATTAGATGGTGTACTTTTTATCTTATTTCTTATATGATTTTTGTGAAGAATGTTAAAAAAATAATTAAATTGATTTAAATTTACATTATACTTCAGTTGTCACTTTTTTGTTTCCAGGATAATAATAATGGTTATTTATGTGGTCTTTCTGGCGTTCATTATGTTTTTTTATTTCCTCTTGTTCACACTCTGCCTGGAAAACAAGATTTATTACCAGATAAATCGGCCTATAACAACTGCTTTTTATCGCTACAACTGTAGTTGATGGTCTATTGATCTGGTTTTAACCAAATCTCTTAATTCCGTACTGGTAAAAGTTAAACGTTCATACATCAACCTTGTGATGAAAGGAAAGACAAACATTGTTTCTATAGGGAGAAAGGTGGACCATTCCTCAACAAAATAAAGATCAGAATTGAATATTTTATCAGTCTCATATGACGTTAAAATTTTGTGTAATATTCAATTTTTTTTGGTAACAAATTTGAAAACTTTCATACAGTGTGTTACAACTTTATCTTGAGACTTGTAACTTTTAAAAACTTTGTTTCCATATTTAATACTGTAAAAAATTCGTTAGTAGTTGTCAAATGAACAGATGAACATTTTTCGATCCTTTGTTTATGTTGATTGCTTCCAATAAGAGGTTGTGTTGATACATAGAAAAGTCTTGAATTAATTCATACTGAAAGTTAACGTTCATCAAGTAAAAATTAGGCTAAAAGTTTTTTCAACGTTTTTCTCCTCCTGTTTGTGGTAAATACTGGTCTTTATTGGCCACAGTTCTTTTGATGATGGACATTACACTGCCATTGAGAGGGGGCCATTAACACTATACGAAGAATTCCCTGGAAATTTTCTATTAAGCTGACAATTTTGCGTGGCTTTTTTGTCGGTGGTTTCTAATTGTCGACCGGAATCGATAAACTTACAATTCATTGCTCAGTGAGCAGCATTTGATATTTAAATTAACAACTGGAAGGAACTAGTGACTTCCCAATTAAAGAGACCAGACAACCACCTCCCATATGCCTATTTAATATTGTAATCTGATTACTGTAGTTTTGTATGTGTATTAAACCAGACTCTTCATACGGTTCTTATAACACTCGTCAGAAAAAAAAGATGCGTTAATTCAGACTCAGAATGTTACATGGCTCAAAGTTAAACTGACAAGCAAAATGTAAAAATTTTGACAGAGTAATTTTTCTAATAAATCGTGTACTTTTCTTATAGCTTCAGAATTTTAGAGAAACGAAGATCTTTAAATCGGCTACTGATGCAATAAATTTTGAAAATGCTGTCTTACTAAGATTGATTTCATCTTTGAATGCGATATGGTTGGGATATTGATCTTGATATCATGAAGACCACACCGTCTCTACGATAGGGGGCAAGCCTGTGACGGAAGCCACACAAAGGAAGAAAAAAAAAACAAGAAGGCATCTTAATTTTGTGATAAATTAGCATTATCTTGTCATGGAGTGAAATACTGCAAACATTTTCACAATTTAAAGAGAAGAGAATGATATGCGCCAATCTCAGATCGCATAAAGCAGTCGAGATTCGACAGCATAACCAGACGGTTACGCATTCTTAGTTTGTGACTCCACAGGAAACAAAACATAAAGCGGGGAAGCAGATAAAAAAAAATCTCCCAATCCACAGACTAGCTAATTACACTAATGCACACGAACCAATGTACAGTTTGTGTTGGTTTTCTTCATCTTATGCCCCCTGCGTGACGACACCCAAAGATTTAACGTTCCCTCATTAGGGCGACTTCTAAATTATACATCAATCAGGGCAACTGACAATAACCTTTCAAGTTACAGCAATGTACATATTTCCTATTTCAGTACATTAAGACGAACAGGCACACAGGTTCTTTGTCCTTTCTTTTCAAAGATTAACATCCAATACACTGTAAATACAGCCCTCCAAAAAAAAAAAAATAAATAAATAAAAAAAAATTAAGAAACCAACATGTAAATTAATATTTGTTGTGCATCATATCAATAACACAGGCTTTCAGTTAAATTAGCTGATTGCATCTCATTCTGACATCCTCTACTTGCAAATTAAGAAAAGGTTCATGAACAATGCATGAGTCAATCATAAATAATTACTGCATAAACTGCATTTATTACTGAAATTACCTTTTAACATTACAGTATACAGGTAATTTTCGTTTCTTAGACTAGTAATATTGATCTGAGTGATAGTTAAATTACAAACTTCAGAGTTGATTAACATCTACATGTATAATTTACAATTTCAAAAATATGACTATGGATTTATTACTCTTATTTGTCAAGGTATTGTTCCAGTTTTTGTCGACTGTATCATAAAAGGAGTTTATCTTTCACATCAATACGAGAATCCTATTGCAAAGTATGCGTTAAGAATTATTTTGTCTCAATCATTGTGATTGAAATATTGGAGGCATCTATACATATAAGAATGTTTATTTCAATCAACCCACATTAAATCTAAACGAATTTAAATCGTTATAACAAATTTAAGAATTCGTTTAAACTAATTTTATTCGTTATAACAAATGAAAGAATTTACTGAAATGAATTTAATTCGTTATAAAAAAAAATTGGAATTCGTTATGATGAACTCAACAGATTTGTTATAACAGATTAGATTCGTTATAACGAATTGAAAAAAAATGATAAAACAAATTAAATTCATTTTAACAAATTTGATTTATATCGAATTCAAAAATATTTTGGATAGGTCCTATACGAGCTTCCGTAGCATTATAATGGCGGTTATTGGATTAAAGAATTAATTAATACATTGTGTAAAACATCATTGCATCTTTTTGTTCATGCCTCTACATCATACTTTACGAGTTTCTGGTGTAATTAAATGCAAAAGTTATATTAAATTTTGTTAACTTGCATCTAAATTATAATGTTGACTAATAACTATATGATATTTCAATTATATTATGCACAAAATGACATTGATAAACAGCTAGCAGGTCTGTGTATGTATGCAGTCCTCAAAAGGAAAGTTAGGGATCCATCCCCTTTTTTTGAAAATAATCTTTTGCTGTTAAATCAGTTTACGAAAGCCCAGAAGGCTCATTCGAGATTCGAGTTTCGAAATACGAGATTCGAAATTCGAGTTTCGAGATTCAAGATCCAAACTAACCAATCAAAAGGCGGATTCAATATTTGATTACTCCCCTTTATTAAGTTTTTACTATCAAAAAATCGCTGAATATATTTATAACAAATGGGTCATTTGCTTTAATAATAATGCAAGAAAAAATGTTATATGTATCAAAACGAAATAAAAATGAATTTTGGGGCAACGTTTTGAAAAATATATATATAATCTAATTTTTCTCATTAAACAAAACAATAGATACGTATATAAAATATTATATGGTCTTATCGTTGAATTGCGAAATTAGTAGGTCGATAAATTATTTAATAAGGACATTGATGAGGAAGAAATACTAAGGATCGTCTTAACACTGCAAAGTAATTTACTTAAGGATACATTTAATTACATTTAAAGGTGCATTTGTGCAGTTAGGCTGATCTACTATTTGATAGGAAATAAGATGAAATTCCAGTTTGTATTGTATATAATTTTTAATTCAAGTATTCAAAGCCTTAGACCAAGATAAGTAATTAAAAACTTAATTTTTATGTATTTTTCCTATTGGGAAACAGTGGTGTATATTCCCTTCTGCTAATGTGTAGTCACAGATTTTACCAAAAGCGCATCATTTCCGAATTGCGAATAGGCAAGGAGGGAGTCGCCCCCTCTCAATAGAGGGGGGGGGGTCGGATCGGAGGACCACTTTCTGCGATCTTGGATACATTTATCATTGTCATTTTCTCCAGTGAATATAATTATAAATCATTTAAAAATATTTTTATGATACAAAAAATTAAAATCTTCATGACCACTCTTAAGGAGGCTGGGGGGGGGGGGGGGGTTCAACAAATTAACCATCAGATATAACTTGTTTTTTTTTTAGATATGATATCTTAAGATGTCAACTATCATTTGGCAAAGAAAAAAATCATACATTTTAGTTTCAAAATTTGATCATTTTTGTATATCTTTATATGGAGCTCTTCTTCTAAAGGAGATCAATATAGTCTAAAAATGGCCACGACCACCCAGCCCTCTTAATAAAATTAAGAAATTTTAAAATCCTTACACAGTGCTCGGAAATTATGGAAACTTCTTTACTGAATAATCTAAATATAATATTTAAAATGTTTTATGTTTGACTTCCTACTATTCCAAACATATTTCCTAATTTCTATTCCCTGTCCTAATCGTAGACTCCTGTTGCTGTCATTTTTAGCTCTACTGGTCAGAGACCAGAAGAGCTTATGCGATAGTAAGGTGTCCGTCCGTCCGTATGTCTGTCTGTCTGTCCGTCTGTCTGTAAACAATATTTCAAAACGCTACTCCTCCTACAGTTTTGATTTCAATATAACTTGGCACACAAGTACACTACACTAAGATACATAATTTAGTGCATCGGTTTTTGATTTCGATGGACGGTGTTGCCATGGTTACTAAAAATAGAAAATTTTGTGAAATTCCCATAAAACATTAGTCCTCCTACGATTTTGGTCTGATTTCAATCTAATTTGGCACACAGATAGAATACACTATGATACATAATATGTATTTCTGTTTTTTTTTTTTTTATTTCGGTGAATGGTGTTGTCATGGTTACTAAAAATAGAAATTTCCGTGAAATACTTTCAAAACGCTACTCCTCCTACAGTTTTCGTTTGATTTCAATATAACTTGGCACAGAAGTAGACTACATTAAGATACATAATTCTATTTATTGTTGCATGTTGCAAAGTTTCAAATCCAAGTGCTACTTTTCTTTTGTTATACGTACAGACCAGTAGAGCTACAGTCTCATCAGAGACTTCTGGTTAATATATAGTCTGATATCGACTTCAATATAACATTTCAATTCTAGATTTAACTAGCTATGAAAATCAAAAGTTTTTTTATACTGTAAAAATTGGATAGGCATAAAAGTGTGGATTGCTAAAAATACTTTTATTGCATTTGATGA